GTCCCTCTCAAAAATCCGTTAAACTAAAACGAATTCAACCGTAAATGTGTGAAGGTATTTTACAAACCTACATTTTTATATATGTGTACAGGTATTAAGGTATTATTTATATTTAATAAAAAATAAAAAACGAACCGGAAAAGGCAAAACAAAAGTCTGACGTGGTATGAGAGAATATTTAAGTTTTTCTAAAAAATAATAATAATAATAATAATAATTTCCAATAGGAAACCAATATTATTAATAACCTTTATCACGCCATACTGTAATATGAATATTAAGAAAGAAAGAAAAGAAAAGCGGATGTGAATGACTAACATATGACGACTACGTACGTTTTGATCTGTTGTGGGATTGACAAAAACGTTAAGAGAGAGAGAGAGAGAGAGAGAGAGAGAGAGAGAGAGAATATTATTTGTTGACACATTGACATAGAAATTTTGATTGCAAGTTTTTTGTATTCGTAATAATAATAATAATAATACTTAATAATATTTCGATAATTGAAATCAGTCTTGCCATATTTATAAATTTTCAAGGTATGTTTGTTTGATAATAATTGAACTTGACCTTTTTTTTTTTTTTTTTCCTATTTTTTTTTTTTTTATCAACTTTCATTTTGTTTCCTATATATAATTTTTTAATTATTATCAAAGTATTTGGAATCGTAAAAAAAAAAAAAAAAAATTCCCTTTTACCGAACGACGAGACTTCCGGGTTTAATAATAATAATAATAATAATTAATGTTTAAAAATTCGATCGAAAGCTTTTTTTTTTTTATAAACTCGGTCGTTTTTTAATTATTCGAACGGAATTATTATACGTTAAATTATTTAAAATAAAAACAGACGACGCATGATAAAATGAAAATGTCAAATGTGAAGGTTTTAGGAAACCGTTAAAAGAAGGTACGATTATTGAAAAGTTGTGTCGGAATGTGGAGTATTAAGGTTTGTCACCGATATATATATGCAGTGGAAAGCAAACAAAGATGTTATGATGTGGGAGATATTGTGAAAAATCTGACGTAAATCGCGAGCTTATCAGCAAGAAGGAAAAAAAAGTCGACGGGGAGGGGAGAAGAGGGGAGGGGGCGGCGGAAAACCGAAATCTCGGAAAATTAAAAAAAAAAAAAAAAACAATCGAAAAATAATTTTAGAAAACATGTGGAAAAATAATATTAACGAAGGGGAAAAATCATTTTTATTATTACATAAAATTTTATTATTAATATTATTATTATTATTATTATTATCGCGAAAAGCTTTAAAATTTAAACGTTAAAATAGGTTAACGATTTAAAAAAAATCACGTTCGTGCTTTTTTTTATAAATTTCTCTAATGTTTAATAAAATTTTGTAAAATTTTTTTTTTTTTTTTTTTTTTTTTTTAACGAACGTTTTGGCCGATTTTAAAAAGAGACAGAGAGAGAGGGGGGGGGGAAACAAAATGAAGGTCGATGAGAAATAATGACAATTAATTATTATTTTTTTTTTTTTTTAAAGAAATTTGGGGTTGTTATGGTTTTAAATAAAAAAAAAAAAAAAGAAAAATTATAATCGGAAAATTCGAATCGTAAATAACACGACTTAAAATTTTGCATAATAATAATAATAATAATAATAGTAATGGTTCGTGTTCGTTAACTAGAATACATTTAAAAAAAAGAGAGAGAGAGAGAGAGAGAGAGAATTATTATTGTAAAATCCATCGTAACTTGTTTAAAAAAAAAAAATTATTAAATGTTGTTACATAATAAACATCAACGAGTTTTATCGGGATTTTTTATTTTCGCGGGGGGGAGGGGGTGCGCGAGTGTGAATGAATGCAAGATTTAAATTTAAAGACAACAAAAAAATGCAAAAAAAAAAAAAAAATGAAAAAATAGTTGTTATCATTGATATATTTATGTGTTGCAAGGTTTAATTTTAGGTATTAATCCTGTTTTTGAATAAGAAAAAAAAAAAAGTTGTTTTCATTTTCAAAACTTTGTTTTTGTTACGTATAAATTATTAATAATAATAATAATATTTGTACTAAAAATTATTGAGAGTGGTTTTGATATTAATGTGTCAATAACATACGGAGCCATTTTGTTTTTTTTTTTTTGCGCGCGCGAATAAATTTAAAAAAAAAAAAAAAGTTTTGACACACTCCTTAATTAAAAAAGGAAAATTAAGGAAAATCTTTTTCTCTCTTTCTCTCTCTCTCTCTCTCTCTCTCTCTCTCTCTCTCTCTCTTATTACAAACAAATGAATTTTTTTTATTTTTGTTGTTGCTTATGGTGTGAGAGTGTGTGTGTGTGTCGTTGTCGTTGTTGTTGTTGTTGTTGTTGCAATTGATTTGGCAATAATTAATTTGTTTTTATCGTCTGCAGTTTGTTTTTACTTCTTTAGAAAAAAAAAAAAAAAACTTGTTTTCAATTAAATTGATTGATTATGAATTATATGATTTGTTTTTTTTTTTTTTTTTTATTTTTCGACTCGGCTCGATTCGAATTAGGACAAAGAAAACAAAAAAAAAAAAAAAAATTTTTTTTAGTTTGTGAATGACACGACACGACGTTTGTGATTAATTACAAAATTAAAAAAAGCATTTAAAAAAAAAAAATTTTTTTTTTTTTGTTTTGTTGATGATGAAAATGTTGCTGGGTCGTTATTGTTTAATTATTATTAATAAATAAATAAATAAACGTGTTAGGAATATCACTTATCACACTTTCGATGAGTATTAATTATTTTTCGGTACGTTTTCCAGGTTTTTTCATTCTCAACCGTACCACACGAATGTTATTATCATCGTACCTTATACGATTTTTATCGTTTCAGATGATAAATAATGTCAGAAGGAAAACCTGTAACATCCGGCAACATAAGCGATGTCGAATCAAATCGAGAAAAGGTGACCACCGGGGGTGGCGTAACCGATGCCAACGTTTCGACTTTTTTATTTTCCGCGGTTTCGACACCCTCGGGACCGGGAGGAGGAGGATTTCCTCTCAGACCGATTTATCCACCGAAATCCGCTTTGAAAGGTCACAGAAGAAGCGCAAGTCACGGAGGAGTGGCAACACGGCCTCTAACAGCATCTGGTAAGAAAAAAAAAAAAAAAAAAAGACAAAAAGATTATGAAAAATTATGAAAAAAAATCTTTGACTTCCTCAATTAGCATTCGGTTTAAAAAAAAAAAAAAAAAACAAAAATGTGTTTGCCGCCATGTGCATTATTCTAATACCTTCTTCTTTTGCCGTTTTGTTAATTGCGAAATCAATCAATCAATCAATTTTTCTCTCTTGATAATTCCCTAAATTTCTCTCGTTAGAATCGACGGATCAGGAGCAAAATTCTTACGTTTGAAATTTAGTTTTATTTATCATCATCATTATCATTATCATTTTTTTTTTTTTTAATGATGGCGTTCAAATGATGTTTTTTTAAGAAAAAGACGTTGTTGTTGTTGTTGATGATGATGATAATGATGTGGTTTAAATAAATGCAAAGTTATTAAATAAAAAAGAATGTGAAACAAATCGATTATTATTTTCATTTCGAGTGTTGCAACAAATAGTTTATATATATATTATGTGGGAACCATTTTTTTTTTTTTTTTAACGTTTTACAAAAAAATTAATAACTTTGAATGAATCGCTAAAAAATTTTTCTCCTTAGAAAATTACATTTAATAATAATAATAAATCAAATTTTTTCAAAAATTACTTTTTTAAGATTGATGAAAAATTCTTAATCCTTTCCCTCCCCCCCCCGCGGAATGATTTTAGTCATTCAAACAAATAAAAAATAAAAAATCGTTATTTATTTAAAAACTTTCTAGAAAGAATGATAATAATAATGATGATATTTGAAAACGTTCGTGATTTTTGAAGACGATTCTAGAATTTTCCCGAAGAAGAAAATTTGTATCCTTACGAATTATTTTTAAAATTTGGTTTGAGATGAATTGTCGTTCGATGATGACTCCATATTTAATTTTTTTACACTTTCGACGTTTTTTTTTATTTATTATTTATTTTTTATAAATTTCAAAAGACGAAAAAAAAAAAAAATGAAATTTATGTAAAATTAATTAAGTCATTCATTAATTTGAGTTTTATGTAAAAGCGATTTCATAAAAAAAATTTTTTTTCTTTTTGTTTTAAATCCTTTTTTTTAAAAAAAAAAAAAAATTAAAAAAATCTTTTTACTCATTTTGAAAAGAGTTGGGGAAAAAAAGGCATCTAGAACAAAAAGGGAAATAAACAAGATTTTTTTTTAAATTGTGACAATTTCTCTCTCTCTCTCTCTCTCTATCTATCTATCTATCTATCTATCTATCTCTCTCGCTCTCTTATTCTTTTAATGCTGTAGGCGGTGAAAAGGTGCATTTTTTTAAATTATTTTTATTTTTAAAAAAAAAAGGAATTTAATTTAAATGTAAACGCCCACGAGTGTTTTTTTTTATTCCCCTGGAGGGAGGGAGGGAGGGGTGGAGGTGAAAAGAAAAAAAGACTTTTTTTTTGTTGTCTATTTTTTTAAATTTAAAAAGGAAAATATTGTTTTTTTTTTTTTGTTGTTTAATGTAGGAGACGTTAAAGTTTTTCAATTTTCGTTTAGTGTACTTTTGAGAATGGAAAAAAAAAAAAAAAAAAAAAACTTATTTTAAAACCGTATGAAATAGTGAACTGCGAAGTAAGTGAATAAATAAAACGGAAAATATATAGTTTCGAAAAAGTATGAGTTATTAAATTTTTGCGATTCCCCCCATCATTTCCCCCCTTGTTCTTTGAAAAAATGCATTTTGTCGTGTAAGAATGCGACGACTTTTGTGTTCGTAAAACGGTTTTATAAGTTTGAATAGGAATTAGTATAACATTGCATTGTTTTTGTTATGTAAACATAAAAAAAAATAATTTTCAAATTTTTTTTAAAGGTGGAATATCCGGGGCAGGTTCTGCTGGAATCGTATCACGCCCCTCGGCTCTCAAATCCACTCCGGGTCATCAAAGAGCTTTTTCCCAGGGTCAGATACTCGATGGACCCAATTCGGGAGGTTTGACACGTAGCGGTCACAGTCGAGTCGGTTCGAAAACGGATTTCATACTTCCGCCGGGGCACAAAGAAAGCGACGGCGGAGGAGGAGGAGGTGGAGGTGGTGGAGGAATAGGAGGAGGAGGAGGAACCGGAACTCCCGGATCGTCTGCGAGTCTTTTCAAACCGGGACACAAACGACAAGCGTCCCGTTCGGAGTCGATATACACCCTTCGACAGGGTAAAAAACCTAATTTATTAACGAGGTGTTGCAATTTCATTCTCAGGAGACAATACGAGAGTGATCCCAGTGATAATAAGCAACGCATCGTCGTTCCTAATCATTTAGTGTCGAGTGCAACGAAAAAAAGTGATCATCCGAATTCGCGGTGGGCCAACAATTACGTTTGTACGACAAAGTACACGTTGTTGTCCTTCATACCGAAAAACCTTTTTGAACAGGTTTGTTTTGTTACCGAAAGGAAAATGTATACATGATGGAATTAAATTTTTTTAAAAATCGATATCGGCTTGTTAAAGTTCATTGTCGTTAAAAAATTATACGAAAAACGCTGAGTTTTTTTTTTTAAATTTACTTAAAACGCAAAATTTATTGAAGGGAAAAAAAAAATAGCAACTATTTGAATAATGTGAGAAAAAAAAAAAACCGAGCCTGATCATTTACAAGGTTCACAGTAGGCACGAGATTAGGTACTACTTATCGGCTACTTAAACCATGGGAAAAAAGTCATTATTTAACGCATATCTAATCTTTTTTTCTCTCTGTCTCTCTCTCTCTCTCTCTCTCTCATTGTCACTGCTGAGTTTCACTTTCGTTCCCAAGTCGAATATATTTGTCTAAGCAAGTATATACGCACGTGTACACGTGGGTGTATCAAAAAAATAAATAAAAACCTGTTGTCGCCATATATATAGGTAGGTGTCTCGATATAAGGTTCGGTTTTTCTCAACGAATGAACTTTGATAAGCTGTTGTTAATTAGAAAAGGTTTTACTTTTAAAATAATAATTTAATTCCATCATGTTTACATGTTTTTGCTGTTGCTGTTGGACTTTTCCAAAATATGTGAATGTTATTGTTATTTATTGTGAAAAATTGTGTTTGTTGTTTTGTGCAGTTTCATCGCGTCGCAAATTTATATTTCATATTCATAGTTCTACTTAATTGGTTCCCGGCCATAAATGCATTTGGAAAAGAAATATCGGTTATACCCGTTTTATTCGTTCTCGGCGTGACCGCCATAAAGGATTTATTCGAAGACAGGAGGAGACACATAAGTGATAACAGGATAAATAATTCAACATGTAGAATATACGACGGGTGAGTTTTTGTTTAAATTATTTATTTATTTATTTATTTGTTGCAAAATTAGTTTCAATTTGGATCGCGATGAACGTTTTTGAAAAATGTCGTTTTGTTATATTCGTAAAAAAAAAAAAAATTTGAACCTTTTATTCGATTCTCAATGAAAAAGGTTAATTTTTTTTTTTTTGCTGATTTCTATCTGCTTTTTTTTTTTTTTTAATGTTAACCTCATTTTTGTTCGTTTTAACATTGTCAAATTTTACCGAAAATCGATTCGAGTTCGTTTTATATTATTTTGTCTTTTTTGTATTAACCGAAAAAACAATTTTATTCGTGGGGGAGGGAGGGGGGAGCGAGTATCGGAGACTCCCCGAATTTCGATGAAATTTTAATGAAAATTATGAATTTTTTATAATAATAATTCTTTTCGTATTAAACCAAGTTGAATTTTTGTAAAAGAAAAATCAAAAGAGAGAATGAAAGGGAGGAAAAGGTTTACTTAATGTAATTTATTTACGTAAGTGTAACTACAAAATGAAATGACGATTTTCCCCTCCTTCCCTTCCCTTCTTTCTCCCACCCTTCTACCCGCACCCCTCCCAAACGGTTCCCATTTTTTTTTTTTTAAATGGTGGATAAATTTGATGAGTACATGAGTGGTTAATATTTTGATTTTTTTTTTTTCTTTTTGAAAATTGCGTGCGCGCGAAAAAAATTTTCCGACAGGTGAAAAATAAATAATTTAATAAAATGAAATCAGAGATAGAGAGGGGAGGGGAGGGGAGGGGTGCGACACAATGACAGGGAAAAAAAAAAGAGAAAAAAAAAATCAAATTATCCGTTTAATAATTGGATAAATATTTAACAATGTTAGAAACGTTAGTCGTAATGTTTTTTTTTTTAAATTGGGGGGAAGGGAGGGGAGGAGAGGGTAGAAGGGGAGGAGGAAAAAAGGAAAAAAATTTAATTTAATTTTTCATTAAATAATTACGCCGGTAAAAAATTCAAGAGTTTTGAATATTCAATGCACGCAAAGGCAACACAAACATTTTATTCTTTTTTTTTTCTCTCTCTCTTTTCTTTTACCACTTTTCTACGTTTAATTTTAATTTTTGTTTTCTCTCTCTTCTCATTTCCCACACCTCGACACGTTAATAATAATATTAATAATAATAACAATGTTTAATTTTTTTTTTTTTTTATATATATAAAACGTCTCTGATTTGATATCCGGTTTTAATTTGTTGTCGTTCATGTTTCGTCGTGTCGGTAATAAATTGATTAAACGATTGTAAAAGGTATCGAAGGGCGCGATAAATAACGGAAAAAATATATTATATATAAATTTAATAATTGGTGTTATCACGAATTGATAAGAGATTATTTCCGTCGCGAAAATAATGTCGAGGGAGGGTGTTTAGAAAGGAAAATGTTTGCATATAGTTTTCCTCTTTTTTTTCTCTCACTCACTCTCTCTCTCTCTCTCTCTCTCTCTCTCTCTCCAAAAATTCAGGTTTGTTCAATGGGGGAATTGCTTTCTCTATATTTTTTATATTTCTAGAACAATTTTCTCTTCCGTTCAAAGTCAGAATTGAAAATATTTTCATCAATCAATCAATCAATCAATCATGCTCAAATTTTTCGCGTAGTCGGTTTTAAATGTTTTAAAACTTATTATCATTATTATTATTATTATTATTATTATTATTATTATTATTATTATTATTATTATTATTATTATTTTCGTTGCGAAGAAATTTTGTTTTTAGAGTCTATAATAATATGAATAATTTTTTTTTTTATTGTTAACGGAATTTCATCGTTTGTTTTGTTTGCGAGTTTTAAGTACGTTAAAAATTTTCAGAAAAAAAAAAACAGAAAAAGGATAAAAATCACGTTTGTTTTGTTTGTTTGTTAATTTGTTCATTTTGTTGTTATTCGGTCGTTGTTTTCATTGATGAAATCAAATAAAAATAAAACAAAACGTTAAAAATTGATGTTTAGAAAATTGTAATTCAATCGACGTGGAGATGGTGGTGGCGGTGGTGGTCAATTTAATTTTTTTTTTTTTTTTTTTGAATTGTTTGTTGTGTTTGTTTTCGTCTCGAAGCAAAGCAACAAACACGACATTTACTATTTTTTGCTCGTGATAAAAAAAAAAAAAAAAAAATAGTTTTTGTTTTTGATTTTCGCACCTTTTTTGTTCCCCCTCTTATGCCGGCCATTTTGCACCTCGTTTTGTAGAAAATTAGCAGACGATTTTTCAATTGGAAATTTATTGGTGGCCACGCATGCAACAAAAAAAAATGAATTTAACGTTTGCGGTTTAGTAAATTTCCTTCTAAATTTCGAGTATGAATTTGACGAGGAGCCTGTTTCTAGCGGTTAAGAATAGAAAAATGATAAATTGTTTCTTTTTTTAATGTTTTCTCTCTCTCTCTCTCTCTCTCTTTTCCGCTCTTCCTCTCTCTGTCTCTCTCTTTCTCATTTCGACTTGATCGTTAGTTTGCAAAAATATAAATAATGTTCATAATTTGAGTAAAATAACTTTTTAAATGACGACCGCGAATAAGATTTCTGGTTATTAGAATTTTTTTTCGTTTTAATTAAGAAGCAGACGAAAATTTTTACGACTTTTTTGTTTTGTTTTGAAAAAATCAATACGGATATCAAAATCGATACATTGTATTGATGATAAAGTAGAGGAAAGGAAAAGAAAAGAAAAAAAAATTTTTTTCAGGTTTAAAAAACTTTCGAGTTAGTTACCTGATGATGTTAGCGTTTGTCGTTGTGTTTGTATTATTATTATTATTATTATTATTATTATTATTATTCCTTTTCATTGTAATTTTTTTTTTTTTACTGTTTCTTTTCTTTTTTTTCTCCTTAATAAGCGTTTAAAAAAAAAATTTGTTTTGTCATTTAAATTTTTTTTTTTATTTTTTTATCAAGTCAACCCGGGCGACCAACCCACAATTTGGCCTCGTTTTCTCTCTCTCTCTCTCTCTCGCAATGTTTTTTATTTTGATTTCAAGGTGCCACGTTTAGTGTAAAAAATTTTACACACATTTGACCCTCGGAAAAAAGTTTTTCGTTGCGTAAAAAACGAAATGAAAATACCGGATGCTGAGTTAAAATTTTTCTTTAAATCTTTCTTTTTCAATTTTATTACTAGTCCGATAGGTATTTTATAATAATAATAATAATTGTTGTATCGAGAGGGGGAAAAAAAGAAAAGTTTTCCTCCTCTTTCCCTTCTCTTCTTCCTTCCTCTTCTTCTTGTCCTCATTGTGTTTGAATAAACGATTCAAAAAATCTCTTTTGTATTTGGTCTATAAAAATTTTCAAGGTATTTCCTTTAACTTGAATAAAATGGCCTAAAACGAATGAATTGTTTGTTGATTATGAAGAAAGCCTTTTTTTCTGTTTTTTTTTGGAAAACAAAAACGTTCCTCCAAGGTCGAAAAGTCGTCGTAACAGTTTTTGTCGACGATTTGATGACCCAAACAAACAAACAAACAAACAAACGTTTAAATGAAATTCGTAAAAATTAATAATTTTTTTTTTTTCCAAGGTCAGAATTTTAGGTTGTTTTTTCCGTTTGTTCGTTTGTTTGTTTTGTTTTTTGTTTCGTACTCTTCTTCCACCACGAAGAATTGTATTGTTTGAAAAAAAAAAAAAAAACGGTTGGTTAAACTAAAAAAAAGTTAACCGACAGCGATTAAAATCGATTTATCGCGATGTTATGAATATCGCATTTTTTTCGATTGATATTTCGCCGTAGGAAATTTTCACGTTGAAAGAGAGAGAGGGGGGAGGGGAGTGAATGATTAATAACTTTTTATATTGTCGTCATAATCGCATTGAAATTTAACGTTTAAATAATTTGAATATTTTTTATCGGCGGCATGTAGAGAGAGAGAGAGAAAAGAAAAATTTTCATTTTGGTTGTTTTAAATTTTGGTCAAAATTTTCTTAATGCCGCGTGAGAAACGCCGGGAAAACGTAATTTGATTATTAAATAAGCAGACGACGACTACTACTACTACTACTCGTAATCGTCGTCTGCTTCATGTTTTTTTTCACGTTCACGTTCGAAATTAATTTTATTATGAGAAACGCCACCACATTTAATTGCTGTTGCTACAAACGAATGCGGCAGAACAAACGCTGTCTATCAATCAATCAATCAATCAATCAATCTTTCTTTTAACTGACTTTATAATTACGCAACGAGATTTCTTTTATTTAAAAAAAAAAAATAATATTTTTCTAACGGTTTTTCTTTTTGACATTGCGAAAATTTTTAAAATGTTTTAGTAGCGTTTCCGCATTTTTCCCCTTCCCTCTCCCCCCGCTCTTCTCCTCCTTACCTCCTCACCTCGTACATTTTGGAATTCTTGCGATGTTTTTTCATGATAGAAAAATTTCAATGTAAAAAAAGCACTGCTGTTCGAAAGCTTTTCCTCTCTCTCTCTCTCTCTTTCCTTTATTTAATGAACAATGCGGAGAAAAGTCATAAAAAACCCATAAGATTTTCATTATTATTATTATTATTATTATGTTGAATCTTTGCAATCGATTTCATTCGTTTAAAAGTTCGGCCCTGATTTTCTTTTATGCAATTAAATTGAGAAAGTTTTTGAGAGGAATCAATTGAAAAATTTTTTGGGTTGTAACAATTTTTTGTGTGCTAACACAATTTGCGTGCTCTTCTTTTTTTTTTTTTTTTGGGTTCCTCCCCCTTTGCAGTCATTATTATTTGACGGCATGCAATATTGTTTTGTGTGTCTGTCGAAAACCGATTTCTTTTCTCTCTCTCTCTCTCTCTCTTTGAATTCGTGTTTCGTTTGTCCTTGTGTTGTATGGCAGGAGTCACAGATGATAATTTAGCCAATAATTTCATATATGACGGCCAAGTAATTCGTAACGTAAATAAAAAATGACATATCGGATATTAAATGATTTGTTATTAATTAATTTTATTTTCTCTCTCTCTCTCTCTATCTATCCGT